TCCATGTTTGATGGGAGAAGGCTGACCATATCTTCCAAGGTACATACAGAACAGGTGGACCTAAGTACGCAGTGGGCACCACCACCCTTCTTTCCACCTCCATAACCCAGACTGCCTTCCTAGACCAGATTAAACAGGCCTGGGGCAAGAAGGAGTCATGGGTCTTGACTCATTCAATCCTATGGCAAGTATATCAGTCAGAATTACAGAACTAATTAATGATTATAAGACATCTAGCATTAACAGCAGAGGGTGAAAGAAAAGGGAAAATTGAGAAAGGGTCTGACGTCAGAGGGAGAACTGGGAAACAACAGTAGGGAAAGGACTGACATTGCTTCACAAGGTAACCTGTACCTAAGGAGCAGGGTAGGATAGGAGGGGAGCTGTAGAAGGGAGACTGGGAGCTTACCCAGACGATATAATCACAGCATGCATGTTGGCAGGGAGAGGGCATGGATAATAGCAGAAAGGGGGCCCACCCTTACTCCAGTTCCAGCGTTCAGAAAGGATGAGGTGGGGTGGGGAGCAGTGGCAGTGAGGAAGGGGGGAGAAAATGTTAACAGAAGAGGCTGAGGAAGAGCAAGATGTGAGATTCTCATGTCAGGAAATACACAAGGAGAGGCAGGATTCAATAAGGGCTAGCAGTGCTGAGGGACAAGGAGGCAAAGGTTCCTAACACTGGGAGAGAGTGGCACAGATCAAGGGCATGCGGAGGAGCGAAGCTGTTAGAAGGGCAGGACTGAGGTACAGGAAAGGACCCTGGGACCCACAGAGAGCTGTATGACCCCAGGAAGTGTGAGAGGAGTTGATAACAACAGCAAAGAGGGTGGGCAGGCATAGCTTATACGCACCAAGCAGAAGGATATGCTAAGAAAGTAAGGTCTCAATTGTCGCTGGGAAGGGAGCAGGACAGAAATGGGATAACAGAGTTGAGGGCAACTGGGGAGGGCCAGGCCCTGTAGCTGGAAGAAGGGAAGTGTTACTACAGAACATAAAGGTGGAAAGTGTGAGAGGACCAGGAGCATGTGATCACAGCAGGCACCGCCCAGGTCTAGGGAAGGAAACCAAAGGCCAGCTGCTCTGCTGGGCCAGGGATGTGCTGTGGTGGGGCCAGGGGCCAGGTGGCTGGAGCATCTGAACAGGTCTGCTAAGTCCCTGTCCCTGGAACCTGACAGGGCAGCAGACGCCCTTCTAAAGGCAGTAGCAGCTAGCAGTGTTGCTGAGAAGGCTGTGGAAGCTGCTCGAATGGCCAAACTGATAGCCCAGGACCTGCAACCCATGTTAGAAGCCCCAGGTGAGGTATGGGTAGCCTGGGGTGGGGGGTGGGCCCCCTGGGGAGCTGGAAGGGAAAGGGGAAGGGAATCCTCACAGGAGGCTAGGGATGGAGAAACCAAGTTATGAGGGTCTGAGGGGACAGAAGGTGGGAGGGTAGGGAATAGAACTGGGAAGTGCTGAAGTAGGGTAATAAGGACAAGGAGTTGGGGTCTTGCATTGAGAGGCTGTAAGCCGGGGAATACTAAAATCCTGGGAGGTCTCCAGTTGGCTGGGGCTGGGGGGGGGGGAGCGGGAGGCGGGGTTAAAGTGGTAGCCTTTGATGTCCAAAGCCAGTTAGGCCCCTCTGATTCTTAGCTATCCCTGCCCCAGGCCGCAGACCCAGGCAGGACTCAGAAGGTTCCGACACAGAGCCCTTGGATGAGGACAGCCCTGGGGTGTACGAGAATGGACTGACCCCCTCAGAGGGCTCCCCTGAACTGCCCAGCAGTCCTGCCTCCTCCCGCCAACCCTGGCGACACCCTGCCTGCCGGAACCCACTGCCTCCTGGAGGGGACCGGGGTCCCTTCTGCAGCCCCAAAACTTGGCCTGAGGAGTGGGGGGGCCGAGGTGAGCAGGCAGAGGAACTAGCTGGCTATGAGGCCGAGGATGAGGCTGGGATCCAGGGCCCAGGACCCAGAGCCGGTTCCCCACTTCTTGGAGGCTGCAGTGACAGTTCCGGAAGTCTTCGTGAGGAGGAGGGGGAAGATGAAGAGCCCTTGCCCCCCATGCGGACCCCAGGGGCCTTGGAGCCTGAGCCCATGGCCACACCAGTCCCGAGGGGCCCGTCCTCAAGGGGTCCTGAAGCCGGGTGTCTGATGGAAGAGCTTGAGGAGCCAGCTGCAACCGAGAGGCCCGCCCAGCCGGTGAGACAGACACCCTTCATTCCGCCTTTTGCCCTCTGAGTCCCAGCTCCTTTCTGACCCCTCTTCTCAAAGCCTTGCCTCTCATCCTTTCCAGATCTCTCTCTGATACCCTGAGGGACTTTGATTTGGATTCAGCTTACTCTGTGCCTGCCCAATCTTAAACCATATCTTACCTCAAAACTAATTAAATAAAAACTTAAAAGCTGGAAGAAATCTTAGAGACCTTCCTTCATATACAACTCCCTCTTTTGACAGAAAGGGAAACTGAGGCACAGAGCACTTAAAGTAACTTGCCCAAGGTTACAAACGAATAATTAATGGTAGTGCCAGAACATCTTTCCCTGTTCTTCCATATCATTTCCAGCTCCCAGTTTCCTACTCCACCCCCACCCCACCTCCACACTTTCTCTCTTTGGTGCCCAGAAATAAAAAAGGAAAAGCTGTTCCCTCCCTACCCTGACTCCCCCCCCTCCCCTTCTCCTGGGAAGAAGGGAAATAGGAAAGAAGGCAGAAAACCAGGAGGGGTGGAGCTTCCCCTGAACTCTATATTCTGATTGGACTCCAGGCCTTCTGTTTCCTAGCAACTACATCCTCACCCCTTCATCCCTTTCTGCTTTACTGCAGTATCAGCTGCTGCTGCCAATGTATGCTACTAAGGCCAGGCACCTTCTGCCTGGGCCACGTGACACGCTTGTGGGAGCAGCGTGGAGGGAGGAGGGAGGAAGGGCTATTCCTGATTTGAAGGAGCCAGTGGGAAGGTGGGGCCCTGGCTAGGAGAAGAGAGGTATTTTGCAATCCAAAACAAAGATTGGTGATCTTCCTGCTCTGGCCTCTGAGGAGAGGTGCCTGGGACCCTTCAGCTTTGCCACCTTGTCCAGGGCAGGAAGGTGGAAGCTGTCACTGGACCTGGTCCTCAGTTACTGAGACTACATTTCTCCCATCTCTCTAGGGAGCTGCCAACCCCCTGGTGGTGGGAGCCGTGGCTCTCCTGGACCTCAGCCTGGCGTTCCTGTTCTCCCAGCTCCTCACCTAAGGCTCCTGCCTGGCCTCATTCTGGCTTTGGTTGCTGCCTGTTCACTCTTTTGATCTGCCTTTTTTTTCTTTACCTCCTTCTGTGTTTTTTCTCCTATCCTTTTTTTCTCTTCTCCCTTTCCTTTCTTTTCCGTCTCCCTTTGTTTTTGTCTCTTGCTTTTTTTTCCCTGCGCTCCTTTCAGATTATCTCATTTATCCTAGATCTGTCTCTGTCTTCCTTACTCCCTTTCCTACCCCAACTCTTCCTTTCTCTAGATTGTTTACATATGAAGGGCTTTTCTTGCTCAGAGTTGCTCTCTTCTCTGAGACACACAAATCTAAGTCAGACCATTGCCCCACACCCTCCCCACCTTTTATTTAGACCTGAACTTGGATGAGAGTGGGGGGTTGGTGTCCTGAGGAGTCTCCTGGAAGCTGAGTAGAAAGGAGGAAAAAAATGGAGGAGTGCCTATACTGGGCAAGGCACTGGTTGAGTTCTGTGGCTCCCTAACCCAGGGACCCGGTGTCCCTCTGAGGCCTGATGAAAAAACTGGAGGAGGTACAGCCGCCATCTCTCGCTCTGGAGAAGTCTATCTCCCTTCCAAGCACCAAGATAGGTTCTTGCCTAATTCCATCCTTCCCTGAAAGGGATATAAAGGGAAATGAAAAGTAGGACGACTCCCTAGCATCTCCCACTTTCTTTCCTCAACAGCCAGTCCCTTGTCCAACCCTCAAGGGTGGCATGCCATGTCAAGAGCAATGTGGAAAGGAAAGAAAGAGCCCAATGCAGCTGAGTCCACCCACTGATCTCTCCCACCCTTCTCCCCCCTAAAAGTTTATTTGGATGGTCTGGACTCACTTGTGGCCTTTGATTAAATTTCTAAGGGGCCTGAAGAAGACATTCCTACTGCAGAGGGTTAGAGGCACTTGAGCAAGGACCCCACTCCCCGACTCTGGTGTTGTGTTGGGGGAGGCAGTTTTAGGGAATGGAACCAGACCAGTTAACAGGAACTCACAGGGCAGCAAAAGTTGTGACAAGCTTAGTCTCTAAGTGGGTTATATCTCTCCCCGCATCATATCAGAATCTTGTAAAATGGGTAAACAGAAGGAGGGGATCACAGGAAGCCAATCTGTCATACACTTTCCAGGCAGGGCAGAGGTGGGTGGAGAGCCCTGTTTGAGGTCTGGCTGATCCCTGGTACTAACTTTTCCCCTGGGGGCAGGAAGCCCTAGGAAGAGGGGACTGTGAGGTCCCCAGGGGATCTTTCCTCCCTCCCCTGCATGAGGCAGAGGCAAGCTGCCTGCCAAACCCCTCCCTCAAGGAATGGCCTTGCCTGGGAATGCCCACCACACACACACCCTCTTTTTTTCTAGTCCAACTGTTTACTCCTTGGCCTGCCTCCCTCCTTCCTCCCTTCTCAACCTTTCCTTCTGATTTCTATTTCATGGAATTTGGGATTGAAGTTAAACTACAACAGTGCCGCCAACACCAAGTCTTGCAGGAAAAAAAATACAAAGAAATTTAACAAAAAAAATATATTAATAAAAAAGTTCAAAAAAGGGGGGATTGTCATCTCCTTTGGGGTGCGATGGCTTCAACCCCAAGGTCTCTGAAGCTCCCCGGGTGGTGAGACTGCGCGGAGCCCTCGCGGGGAGGCCCCGTGCGGTGCAGTCCTTCCCCTCGACCCGGGGCCCGCGCTGAGGTCAGAGTACCCAAGACGGCCCGCGGGGCGGCCCGGGAGGGCGGGTCCGCGGTGGGGGCGGGGAGAGGGGCGGACCACACGGAGCACCAAGCCCCGCCCGGCCCTGTACCAGGAAACGCGGGGGGAGCGGCACGGAGCTGAGACACGAGCCAGGTGAGGCTGGCGGCCTGTTGTGGGGGAGCTGGGGCGCCAGAGATGTGAACGTGGGGCGGATTCCCGCGGGAGAAAGAGCGCAGGGTCCTGGAAGGAAGGGGACGGCTGAGCTAGGGATGGGGAACCAGGGGGCGGTGGGGGGGCGGATAGGCGGGGTTCCGGCGCAGGGTCGGTGGGAACCGCAGGGTGGGGCGTGGACGCATGCGTGGTGGGGCGCTCCTCGGGCGGGGCGGAGGGGCGGGGCTTGGACCCGAACGTGGGGAAAGGTGAAGGCGGGCTCGGGCTGGGAGTAGCTGTGGAGCCGGCCGTCAGGATCTTGGCACAGGGCAAGCCTGGGCAGAAAGGCCAGACTCCCCCGGCCAGGGGGCTGACGCCCTCCCCATTCTCCGGCGCTCACCCCCCCAGGATGGTGGTGCCTTCGCGGAAGCTTCAAGATCTAATCGAGGAGATTCGTGAGGCCAAGACCCAGGCCCAGGAACGGGAAGTGATCCAGAAGGAGTGTGCCCACATCCGGGCCTCCTTCCGCGATGGGGACCCTCTGCATAGGCACCGCCAGCTGGCCAAACTGCTCTACGTCCACATGCTGGGCTACCCCGCCCACTTTGGACAGGTACCGGTCAGGGATGCCTCCCTTCCGAGTTTGATGAGGGAGGCTACTGAGGCTCACCTATCTGTACCCCTTTTTAAATTTTACAATGTTCCGAGCCCTCACAGCATGCCCCGCAGACCTTCTTTCCCATTACAACCCCTGTTGGTCATCAGCTGGACTGAACCCTACATTCTCTGACCAGCCCCATTCAGGGCACCTCCTTCTCTCTTCTCCCATTCTCCTCAACTCCTATGTTCTTCTATTTTCCACTAACTCTTCTAAGCCTCCCCTTTTGTTAAAGGGAGAATGATGAGATGTGGTGCCCTGACAAGTTAACCTGGTTTTAAGGAGGAAGATAGAAAAGGGATGTTAGTGCCTCTGGTTTCACTCCTGTCCCTTCCTGGTCTGCCTCTTTCCATATAGATGGAGTGCCTGAAACTGATCGCCTCCCCCAGGTTCACAGACAAGAGGGTGGGCTACCTGGGGGCCATGCTTCTACTGGATGAGAGGCAGGATGCCCACCTGCTCATTACCAACAGCATCAAGAAGTGAGAGGGTTCTGGGAAGCACTTGGAACTAGGGGGATGGGAGAGTGGGGAAGCGGGAAATCCCAGAGGGCTGCCTGCTGTAGGTGATAGAAGGACTAGATTTCTCAGAGGCTTGACAGACTCTCCTCCCAAAACTCCACAGTGACCTGAGCCAGGGTATTCATGCCGTACAAGGCCTGGCCCTGTGCACTCTGAGCACCATGGGCTCTGCTGAGATGTGCCGGGATCTGGCCACTGAGGTGGAGAAACTGCTCCTGGAGCGAAGCCCTTATGTGCGCAAGAAGGTGAGCTGGTGGGACACTAGGCCCTTGCCCCCACCCCCCAGAAACGGTCCTGTTTGCCATGTGGCAGAGGTGGAGGCAGGGGGGCCATCCTGGCAGACCCCTACCCTCTCTGAGCCCCCTGACTTCTGCAGGCTGTTCTGACTGCAGTGCACATGATCCGAAAGGTCCCTGAGCTCTCCGACATCTTCCTCCCAGTTTGTGCCAAACTGCTTCATGAACGCCACCATGGTAAGGCCATGGGGCTCCCCATTCCCTGCCTCAGCTCTGGCTATGGCCAAAGGTGGAAAATGGGACAGGAACCTTAGCTCACTGGAGAAGGGTAGTATGTGCACACACACAGTAGACTCTCCTGTGCCCCTGGCCCACCATTCACTTCCCCTGCCCTGACACCAGGCGTCCTGCTGGGCACCATCACGCTGATCACAGAGCTCTGCGAACGAAGCCCTGCAGCCCTCAAGCACTTTCGAAAGGTGGGCTGGTGAAGGGACAGGCCCTGGGTCAGGAAAAGAAGGGCAGTGGGGTTGGAATGGGGCTGATGGTTGAGAAGATTAGGAAGAATGCCCAGATAAGGCTGTGCCCTCCCTACAGGTGGTGCCCCAGCTGGTACAGATCCTCCGGACTCTGGTGACGACAGGATACTCCACAGAACATAGCATATCTGGAGTCAGTGACCCCTTCCTCCAGGTGGGCTGACCCTTCTCTGCTGTATCCCTGGAACAAAGAGCTTGGCAGTAAGCCCATGGCCAGTGGTCACCTTCCAGAAAACACTGGCTCAGTTAGTGTCTTGGGCAGGGTAGCAGGCATAGGACTACCCAGGCCATCCCAGGACCAGTATGGGGAAAGGATGCCTGAAGGTCAAAAAATGCAGTCTACTAACAATAAAAAAACAACCTTTCCCCAAATCCCCTAGCCTCACATATCTCTGATCCCCTTCCAGTGCTCCCCTCAATGTCAGATTTTTCTCCTCAGCCCCATGACTCCTTACCCTAAGAACCCCTCCACCTCTCCACCTTTAACCCAACCACAGGTCCAGATACTTCGTCTGCTTCGGATTCTGGGCCGGAACCACGAGGACAGCAGTGAGATCATGAATGACTTGCTGGCCCAGGTGGGGAACTGGTTAAGTATGTTATTCTGTGATCCCACCTGGGCATCCCTCACATGGCAACTCACCATGAGGTGGCCATATCAACACATCCCCGTTTCCCTCCAGACTGTGGTCTCCACGAGGACAGAGACAGTCTGCCTCGGTATCGTAGTCCCTGGCACAAAGTGTATGGGCCTCAGGGAACTTTGTTAGCTGGTTGAGGATTGAATGACGTGGAGACCATCCAGAGACCTGAGGAGAGGACAGAGCCCATTTTACATGCATCTTCTCTCCCATCCACTCAGGTGGCCACTAACACAGATACCAGCCGAAATGCGGGCAGTGCAGTCCTGTTTGAGACTGTGCTCACCATCATGGACATCCGCTCTGCAGCTGGCCTGCGGGTATCATCTCATATGCCTCTCCCACTGTGGCCTCACCCACCCACCCCAGCGGGGAAGACAGGTCCCGTGCCAGACAGTTCCCACTCCTGAATGAGCAGATTGCTCCTTCCCTAACTGTCCTCAACCTCTGCCTCCCATAGGTTCTGGCTGTCAACATTCTTGGCCGCTTCCTGCTCAACAGTGACAAGAATATTAGGTAAACATTCCAGGTATCTGGCTGGGTTGTGCCACTGAGTCCCTGGCCCTCTGCCTTCCTTCTCCCAATTCATTCTTATCCCCGTACTCAGGGCAGAACGGTGTGGAGGGGAGGCCTTGTGTGATGGGGCCTCTCCCATTCTGTCCAGGTACGTAGCCCTGACGTCATTGCTGCGACTGGTGCAGTCTGATCACAGTGCTGTGCAGCGACACCGGCCCACCGTGGTGGAATGTCTTCGGGAACCTGACGCCTCCCTCAGCCGGTGAGTAAGATAGAGGGCCCTGCCAGCTCCTGATGGCCACGACCTGGACCATCTCAGAGCAGCTGGAGTAAAGGGACTAAGAGGCAAGTGCCTGGGGAAGGGGAGGGCCTGGGCTACACACAAATCTTTCTCCTGGCAGGCGGGCCCTGGAACTGAGCCTGGCTCTGGTGAACAGCTCCAATGTGCGAGCCATGACAAAAGAACTTCAAGGCTTTCTGGAGTCCTGCCCCGTTGATCTGCGGGCAGACTGTGCCTCAGGCATCCTGCTGGCAGCAGAGAGGTGAGGTGACAGGTGCCCATGAGGTAGAGAAGGTGGAATCTGGGGAGGGTCAGTGCCAGGACTGAAATTCCTTATGTCCCCTAGGTTTGCCCCAACCAAGCGATGGCACATAGACACCATCCTGCAAGTGCTGACAACGGTGAGGCAAGGGCTGGTCTGAGAGGATAGGGCAGGAGTGGGCAGGGCTCACACTGACTTGGCCACGTCCACCGCTCCAGGCAGGCACCCATGTTCGGGATGACGCGGTGGCCAACCTGATCCAGCTGATTGGCGGGGCCCAGGAACTACACACCTACTCTGTGCGCCGCCTGTACAGTGCCCTGGCCCAGGACATCTCTCAGGTAATGTTTCCACCACCCAGGTTCAGGGCTGCCCAACCCTCCCAGCCCTTCCTGGGCCAAAGACTCCTCATACCTACTTCCCATTGGTTTTCCCCTCAAAATCATACTTTCTACTTAGTGGAGGAGACAAAGACAGAGCCCTATTTTTAGTAAGAACACCTGGACTTCTGTCCTGGTTCTTATATCTACTGGTTGTGTAACCAGATGACTAATTTAACTTTCTTTATGCTTAGCACACTCAGCTTTCTACCCTGCTCGCCTCCTAGAGCTGTCTTTGTGGATCAAATGAGATCAAAAATCTTTCTGCATGCATTAGGTTTTTTTATTACCTAAATGCTGAGTGAATTAATGGGTGCCAGGCAGATCTATAGCCCCCTTTCCATATTAAGTAGGGTGGGCAGAAACCATCCACCCCTTCTCGAGGGACCCTCACTTCATCCTCCTGCCCCCTTGTGGTTAGACCATGTAGTCCTGATGCTTGGCCACCAGAGGGCAGAGGAAGCTCAGGAGCCAGGACAGCGAGGGGACAAACTAACAGAACTGCTCCTTGTGCTAAGGCCCTTTACCCACCCCTCCAAACCCCACCTAAAGAGATGTCAGAGGGTCTAAAAGTGAGGAGAGGACCCAGACTCTGGCCCAGCATGTCTTTTTTTCTTTTTTTTATCCTCACATTTTTGCATTTATCCTCAGAGCAGGAGGGAGAGGGGGGTCAAAGAGAGAGAGAGACACATCAACTGGTTGCCACCCACACGACCCCAACCGGGGAGGGGACAAACTGCAACCGAGGTACGTGCCCTTAGTGGGAACCAAACCCAGGACTCTGGTCTGCAGGCCAATGCTCTAACCACTGAGAAACCCGGCCAGGGCATGTTTCTTTCTTTTTTTTTTTTTTTTATTGATTTTGGAGAGAGTAAAGGAGAGAGAGAGCTAGAACCATCGATGAGAGAGAACATCAATTGGCCACCTCCTGCATGCCCCCCACTGGGGATTTGGCCCACAACCTGGGCATGTGCCCTGACCAGGAATCGAATTGGCAACCCTTTGGTGCATGGGTCGATGCTCAACCCCTGAGCCACACGAGCCAGGCCCCAACATGTTTCTTATCCCACCCAGCAACCACTGGTACAAGTGGCAGCCTGGTGCATTGGGGAATACGGGGACCTTCTGCTGGAGGGGAGCTGTGAGGAAACCGAGCCACTTCAGGTGAGACCTGCATTGAGGGTACACTGAGGAGGGACTTGTCAGGGAAGGCAGGGCTGGTCCCAGGGTCACTGCCTGTATCCCCCCCACCCCCCTTGCTAAGGTGGAGGAAGAAGAGGTGTTGGCATTACTGGAAAGGGTACTGCAGTCCCATATGTCCCTGCCGGCCACCCGAGGATACGCCCTCACAGCCCTAATGAAGCTTAGCACCCGGCTTCATGGGGACAACAAGTAAGAAAGGGTCCAAGCCCCTCCCGAAAACCCTCTCTGGTGCCTTCAGTAAGAGATGTCCCTTCACTGTGCCTATCAGTTCTGAGTTTCTCTCCAGGCACACCCCCATTACCCCCAATTCTTAGGTTCTTCCTTTTGAACCAAGTATCATGGGTATCTCCCTGCTCTGTGGGGCCTCTCCCTTCTCTGCCACATCCTGGAGTTGAAAGGCAAAGCAGACTGCCATTGCCACTCACACACCATCCTATGGCCCAGCCGCATCCGCCAGGTGGTGTCCATCTACGGAAGCTGCCTCGACGTGGAGCTGCAGCAGCGGGCTGTGGAGTACAGCACACTGTTCCGGAAGTTCGACCACATGAGGTGCGCTTGGCACTCTGCCACAGCAGAGGACCCAAACTCCTGTCCTCTCCCCAAAGTCCCTTTCTGGGTACAAGGAGCTCAACCTCACTACACCCTCCTCCTCCAGTCAGAGCCTCCCATCCACAGTTCACTGAAGCTAAGCTGGCTTCCAAACCTTGGTCATCTGGGAACCAGCAACTGTGTGCCACCTTAGAAAACCAGAGGGTCGGGAGGGGAGAATCAGTGCAGGAAAAAGGAGAAACATCTGTAACAAAAATTAATAAAAGCCCTGGCCAGTTTGGCTCAGCGGTTGAGAGTCGGCCTGCAGACCAGAGAGTCCTGGGTTCGGTTCCTGCTAGGGGCACATACTACAAACAAAACAAAAGAACAACAAAAAAAAATTAATTAAAAAAAAAAAAGAAAGAAAACCAGAGGGGCACTTCCAACCCACCAAGTGCCCAGGCTCTCCTTGTTCTCACCCTTCCTCCCACATGCCCCTTGTAGAAAGCACGGGGTCCACCCTGAGAGACCCCTGCGTTCCATCCTCTCAGGGCTGCCATCCTAGAAAAGATGCCTCTTGTGGATCGAGGTGGCCCTCAGGTTGATGAGGAAGTAAAGGAAAGCAAAGAAGTAGCCCAGCTTTTGGAACCAGCCCCTGTCCCCACAGAGCCCCAGGTGAGGAGGCCAGATGCCCAGGGTGGAGAGGACTTGGTTGGGCTTCCATACCTACTCCCCTCTTCCTTCTGCCCTTTCCCCCAGGCCTCGAAGCTCTTGGATCTGTTAGATCTCCTAGATGGCACTTCTGGGGATGCCCAGAAGCCTCCCCCTCTGGGTCCCTCCCCAGAAGGTACTTTAATACACCTGCTGGACCTTCCCTGTGCTCCCTCAGCCCCAGGTGAGCCTCAGTAAAAGGGAGATGTCTAGGGGAGGGGGCAGAAATGTGCTTCTTCTCCTTAGCCAGGGACTGAGGTTCAGGTACCCTCTTCCCTGCTGTGTGTCCCTGATCATATCTCCATCTTAGTTGGTAAAAGGGTTCGTTAGATCATGTATTCCCTTCCCAGACTCCCTTCAATGTCTTCCCTTTGTTCCAGAATCCCTGGCCTGCGGGCCCTGCTTCCTCCCCAGCCCATCTCATATATTTTTTTTTCTTTTTAAAATATGTTTTTATTGATTTTTAGTTAGAGAGGGAGAGAAAAATTGATCAGCTGCCTCCTGCACGCCCCCTACTGAGGATCAAGACTGCAACCCAGGGTCGTGCCCTGTTCAGGAGTCGAACCAGCCACCCTTGTTGAATGGGACGACACCCAACCCATTGATCCACACCAGCCAGGCTCATATACTTTCCTATTACCCACTCCACTGGCCCGGCCTCAGCTCCTCAGACCCTCTCACAGCAAGCGCTTGGCAATTCATGTTTTTACATGGAATATTCTTTCCCCAGCATACCAAATGACTGGCTTATCCTTACTCTTTAAGCCTCAGCTAAAATGTCAGGTGTTTCCCCTACCACTCCAATTTTAGTTATTTGCTCCCAGTTATTCTGGCCTAGTTTATTTCCTTCTAGCACCAACTACAGTTTGTGATTACCTTGCTTTTCTTACTTATTCTCTCCCCCAACTACACTGTCAGCTCCAGCTTCTTATCTACTTTGTCACTGGCATCTCAAGTAGTGCCCCGCACCCAATGAGTGCTCACTTAATTTTTGTTGAACGAATGAATGAATGAACTAATCTTTGGCCCATATAGTGAGCTGTTTCTCTCTCCCTACTCTAGCTCCCATCCCAAATCTCAAAGTGTTTGAGCGTGAAGGACTACAGCTGAATCTGTCTTTTGTTAGACCCCCTGGAACCCCTGATTTGCTCTTAATCACTGTCACTGCTACCAACGCGTCAGAGGGTGATGTCACCCATTTCATCTGCCAGGCCGCTGTGCCCAAGGTTTGTAGAAGACCAGGATTAACAGGTGGCCTGGGCACTCCAGGAGAAAAGGCCAATTAAGTACAGGAGATGGGTGGGAGAGAGAATGAGATGAGAAGGGAGTGACGTGCAAAGATGAACACTTGGGGAATTATGGGAAGAGGGTTTGAAACTATTGAGTGTGCAGGGCTTGCCTGAACCTAGCTACCTCTGCCCAACCTCCCATGTTCAGAGTTTCCAGCTGCAGCTACAGGCCCCTAGTGGGGACACAGTTCCAGCTCAGGGTGGCCTTCCAGTGACCCAGCTCCTCCGAATCCTCAATCCTAACAAGGTGAGCTCCAGGCCCTGTGGATAAGGTCCAGGGAAGGGAGAAGTCATCTGTGCCAACCTTGGTCTCCACTCTCCTACTCCTAGGTCCCCTTGCGGTTAAAGCTGCGCCTCACCTACAACCACTTTGGCCAGTCGGTGCAGGAGATCTTTGAGGTGAACAACTTGCCTGTGGAGACATGGCGGTAACTCAGCCTCCACCCACAGCTGAAATCCTGTGTGTCCCAAATCCCTGGGTTCCCAGCTTCTTGGAGCCTACATCTGAGCACTACCAGCAGGTGGCGCTCTGGTCATGTGCTTGCCACTGCAAAAACTGGAGGGGACTGCTCCCCTCCCTGACAAATAATGAAAGCCTAATAAAAAAGCCTGAGGGGGGGGGAAAGTCATATTTGTGTATATTTGAGGTAGAAATATATATATAAATAACAGCAACAGGAAATATGTGTCTTCCCTTGGCCTTAGGAACCTGTTTCAATAAAGGAGGGTTTTCTTTCTACCCCTCTCCAGGGTAGGGGACAAATCTGACCTACAGGAGGCACTCTACCATCTGGGCCAGAGCAGGACATAGTGGCAAAATCTAACCAAAATTTCTAGATTTCCAACAGGGATTCCCACCCATTTCCCCAATCTGCCGCTATTCCCCACACCCCAAAGCAGGGAAATCCCTGCTGCCTCCCCTCATCTCTAACTCAGCTGTAAGGTGGTTTAGGAGCCGCTGGCAGAATCAATGGCATCGACCAAGGGAGGGGGGGTGGCAAGGGATTTTCCTGTGCTTAACTACTGATCACGGCTAAGTGGAAATCCTATAAACACGAGCGGAAATCAATGGAGGCTGCTTAGCGGCCAGGGGAGAGGGGCGGCCCACAGATTGCATCTGACGGATGAGGGAGAGGAGGCAGCCTGGGAGGGCTCCACAAAGGATAGCTGAGGGTAGGCTGGAGGAACAGGCAGAGCTGGTGAGAGAGGAGTCACTGTGGAAAGGGAAGCCAGGGGAACAGGCACAGTGAGCAAAGGAATGAACCCTATTAGGCTCAGAGTTCTCTTCCCTGTTGTTGTTGAAGTGACACCCTAGCCTAGGCTACTGTCGGGCATCTTTAGTTCCCTGCGGCTTCTCTCTGGAGCTGTGTACTTCTAGCAGGCGCTGATAGTCCTGAGGCCGGAAACGCTGTAGGTACATGATCAGCTTGGCAGGTGCCTTCTCCTGTGCCAGCACACCTATAAGCAAATGGAGAATAAGAGGAGAACCAGATAGAGCTGCAAATGCTTTAAGTCTACTCTGCCCACGCAGCCAGACCCCAAAGTTGTTTCCAAGGCAGCACTGGGATTCTGAACTCCATCCAACCAGCTTCTGTAACTCACCAGCCCACTCCCTGACTGGCCTGTGGAAGTGGGGCCTAAAAGGTCCACTTCAGGCAGGAATGAGGCTGGGAAGCCAAGCATAAGCTCCTCCAGCAAGGAGAAATGGTAAAAAGGCACCCAGGCACCATGAAGACAGAGGGTGCCTAAATACTGACCAATTTCAGTTATTGCTCCTGTCTCCCAAACAAGATTAAAGTCCCTCTAGGCAGGCCAAAGCCCACTTGGTGATGAAGCACATGCAGAGATGCACAAAAAGAGAAACTGAGGGATGCAGAAAGAAGAGGAGAGCCCTAGCCAATGTGGTTCTGTTGGTTGGAGTGACATCCCGTGCACCAAAGGGTTGCAGGGTACATACCCTGGTTGCAGGTTCAATCCCCAGTTGGAGCGCATTCAGGAGGCAACTGATCAGTGTTTCTCACATGGATGTTCTCTCTCTCACCCACCCCCTCCTCTTTCTCCAAGATTAAAAGGAATTTTAAAAAGGAGAGAAGTAGCTATAGCCATGGGGTGGGACTCAGAATTCTAGCCTCTATGTGGTGGAGCCATGATAAGCCAGTGTCTTATTGGTAGTACCTGAGAGCATACTGAGCACCTAACGGGCACCTAACTGGGAACTCAGTATATGTTTGCCAAGGAAGCGAGAATAGTATTCCAGGGCCCCATGGGATGTACAACCCCATACTTGTGTGGATGAACTGTCTATAAGTGCACTAAGCCTAGGAACAGAAAAAAAGAAATCTGCCAGTGCTTGCCCCGCTGTCTCTCATAAATACATCATTACCTTTTACTCAAAGCTAACAGGACATATTAAAGGAAGATCTAGGTAGTTGTAAAATTGAGGAGATAGGAGATGGGAGAAGGACTGTAGCAGAGAACTGACAAATGGAACTGAAGGATACTTGGAGTGGCTAGAGGTATGATAACTAAATCAGGTAGAATGACTGGGACAGATTAAGAGACACTTGGAAGAATTAAATCCAGATTAGATAGCTACTGCATAAGAGGAAATGAGACCTGATAGAGCTGTAAGCAAACTGGGTCTTCTAGAAAGTTGCTAAAACAATTCCCATTAGAGACAAAATCCCAAGATCCTCCCTAATAACGCCCAGTGGGTGTATCCAGAAGAGGAACAGGGAAAGCACATAAGAGTCTCTCCCTCACCAAGCATGCTGCTGAGCTTGTTGATCTTCTCTAGGGCAGCCGGGACTTCAGCCTCCTCGTTCACCAGGGCCTCTATTTCACCCACAGCATAGCCAAAGTCGGCTGTATCCAGGTCCACTTTGAGTGAATGCTCCTCTTTGTCAACTCTGGATAGCACCACTTTCCAGGCACTACGACTTGTCACAAAACTAGCTACTTCCTGCAGCCCCAGTGGGCCCAGCACAGCAATCACACCTCCAGCCCCCAGGACCTCAGTCCCCAGCACCTCATAGAGCTGGGCCACAATTGTAGGTTCATCTGTGAGTTCCCTGTACTCAGTGTGGGGTCCTGAGACACCTGCCGTTCCAGGACATTTGAGCTCCCATCCACTATTTTCTCGCTGTCGCAGCCAGTGATCAGCACGCATCAGGCTCAGCTCAGGGGTGTCATAGTAGCTGTCTCGGAAGGTGACCCGGTGCTCCAGGGTGCCCCCCAACTCCTGCAGCCGGTCCTCTGTTTCAGGCCCAGGAACAAACTTTCGCTCCACCTCAATCAGGGCCATACTACCTGCAATTAGTCAATCAACAATCATTTGCTGAGCTCCCAAGAGTGCTGGGAGCTCAGCCTTGCAGAGCGACTGCTCAGCAAAGAACTCCCCCCCCCCCCCCCACCACCACCCCTGGAAGAACTTAGGAGACACACTGTCACAGTTGGTGCTGCAGCCCTTTCTCCCTGCCCCTGTGATGGAAGGCCCCAGTCTGTCTGATGTGTTAAGACTGCAACAGTGACAGGTCTCCAGTAAGATCCCTTGCACCGCTGATGATGTCCTCAATCCAAAGGGCTCCCTGGAAAGCAGGCCACGTGGCCGGTGTCTTTTCAACGCTCCCCTCTACACCTCGTTACCCTGGGAGGCCGGGAGCTCGCTGCCCGGGATGACCCCGCCCGACCCAGCCCTTCCCGGCCGACCCAGCCCTTCCCGGCCACAGCGCGGTGCAGCAGAGCCTCGGGTCTCACCTCAAAGCCCGAGGGTCTCCCTCTCGCGGGACCTGGAGATGGGGGACGAGAGCCCACGCCACGCCCGCGAGGAATGCCGGGAACAGTCCCAGGCTCCGGACCTCGGCCCGGCTGTGCGCGCCAGGCTAGTCCCAGCGCGAGCGGCCATATTAGGCCCGGTGGTGCCACGGAGAGGCCTGCTAGGTTTAAAGGGGCCGGGACCTCCGCAGTGCGACGGGAGCGAGCCTGCCTGTCCCTCGGTGCTCTGCTCTACATCTCGACCTTTCCCGCTTCCCGGGGGTCGGCCTGGGTCTCGGGCTTCAGGCTGAGCCTGGCACCCTGGGGCCTGGACGCATGATGGGAAATGTAGTTCCAAAGGAGACTTTGCTCCCCGCCCCCCACCATCGCCGTCACTATGGTGACAAGAAAGCTGCGATTAGTGCCAGGGAGACTATCCAAAGTTGAGCTGGGGCTGTGGGTAGACTAGGGTGGGAGAAGCTGAGGCTCCAGTCTCCTCCAAACCCCTCACTCCATAAGCAGATGGGCGTGGAATACAAGCCATTCGTTCAGACACTGCCCAGCAGATATTTTATTGACTATTAGGGGGCCCACTAAATGCTGGCCAATGGCAATGGGCTGATAAATGCATAACTACGACCAGTTTAGCTATTCTGGAGTTTTAGAGGGGATTTAATACCTCTAGGCATGAATGTTCAGGGTAAGGGTGGGTGGGAAACTTTCTGTCCGAGGAGGAAGTGATATTTTGGATGGGAACTAAATGATGGGATTTCAACCGCTGGAGACTCAGATGGAGACAGGAACAGCATGAGTGAAGACCCAGAAGCTGGAGAGCACCTGGCCAGTGTGGAAGGAGATGAAGCTAAAAATACAGTTGAGGAGCACATTGGAAAAGGCCCTGAATGCCAGACTGAGTACTTTGTCACTGCGTCTTCAATGGTCCCGGAGCGAGCTTTGTCAGAAGTAGGAGAAACACTCGTGGTCATTTAAAATATAGGAAGCCCTGGCCGGTTTGGCTCAGCGGTTAGAGCGTCGGCCTGCGGTCCCGAGAGGCCCGGGTTCGGTTCCCGCTAAGGGCACGTACCTCAGTTGCAGTTTGTCCCCGGCCCTGGTTGGTCGTGCGGGTGGCAGCCACTCGATGTGTCCCTTCACGTCGATGTTTCTCTCTCTCTCTCTTCCTCTCTCTCCCTCCCTCTCTATCTGAACAACAACAAAAAAAATGTCCTCGGGTGAGGATAAAATATAGGAAGACATGGGGGTTTGACTGCTTTGAGAGACAAAATAGAGAATCCTACTCCTTACTCCCTCTGAGGACTATGGTTACCTGGAGGAGTCAACTGTATGTCTGACACTCTAGATGTGGTAGCTTGCTGAGGAACAGTGGCTCTTACCAACTCCTAGACTCCCTTCTATGATTGGTGAGAAGTGCTAGGTTCTCAACACCTGTCCTCTCCCCAGTATGTTTCTGGAAATACATGACCCATGATAAGTATTGAGGGAGGACACTGGTTTACAGACAGGGTATTTTGAACTTGGGATGTCTGGGATGCATCCCTCACCCCATGACAGGATAAGCACCAATGGGCAGGGAGGGGAGGGTCCCAAGCCCCTAACTCCTCTCACTGGCTTGCTTTTCATCTATCCTTTGCTTTTCAGTTTTGTTGTCCAGGGGAAGAAGACCTAATCTCTTCCCTGAGTTATAAAAATCCAATCCCAGTGGGCAGAGAGAGCAGTTTAACAGAAAGGAAAGACTAGACTTTGGAACCAGACAGAACTGGGGTTACTCCCAGCTTCACTTTCTAGGTGTTTGGCTTTGGATAAGCTACTCTGCCTCCCTAAACCTGTTTTCTCATTGGCAAAACGTGGACTGCCTCACAGTTATGTGTGACGAGTCAGTGACATACTGTCACATACTAGAGATTATGAATGTTACTTTCTCCTTAGTTTTCTCCTATGAACTCCAGGGTTTCTTCTTTTCTTTTTTTTAAAGATAAGTGGGCTATAGTAGCTAATATGGGCTCTGGGGCCAGACCATTGAGGTTTGAATCTTGGCTCTGTCACTTATTGACCCATGGCTTGGGCCAGCTAATTAACTTGTTTGTGCCAGAGTTTCCTCAGCTGTAAAATGGGGACTAGTTGTGAGGACTAAATTAGTTAATATATGTAAAGGTGGTTGGAACTGTCCTTGTGCATTCCATAAATCTTAGTAATTGTTACTAGAATATAGGTGAGCTTATGAGTTGATACACTGAAAATGAACCCAAGGAGCCAGAATCTCCCCTCCCCCCAACTCTGGGGACTCTGACTGCGTGGAGGAGGGAGAGAGCATGGAGGAGGGAGAGCGCGAGCGAGCATGAGAGCGGGTTGAGACTTCAGAGTACATGCTGTGAAAGAGAAGTTTCTACTACCCAGTTGGAAGGGAGGGGAACTAATATGGCAGGAAGAAGGAAGTGGAAAAAGAGAGGCCTCGGGCGGTTCTGGGAAGCTGGTAGAAGCCAGGGCTTGCTCTAGAGATGATTTAAAACAAAACAAAACACACGTATGGTTTCTGTAGGCAGAAAGAGGAGGAGGAGAAGATGGGAAAGAGTTTAAAGGAGCCTGTCCTCTTTGCAGGCACCAGCTTGGACCTGGCGCCAGAGTTGAGCAGGTGGCCAGGCCCACTGCTCGGCCATGCCATGGGGCCTGGGGTCCCGCCTACGGTTCAGCTAGGCTGGCCGAGTCCGCGCGGGCTGGCGGGTGGACTACAACTCCCGGCATTCACCGGGGCGGGCGGGCCGCTGCACCTGCTCAGTGGGGCCGCCCCGGGCGCCTGGGTATTGATTATCCCATTGTGTGGGACGCCTCGGCTCCAGCCAGTGAATGAGGCGGAGGAGTGAGGGCGAGGAGGTGGAGGAGGTGGAGGAGGAGGAGGAGGAGGTGGGCGAGGAGGAGGAGGAGGAGGAGGAGGAGGAGGAGGAGGAGGCTGAGAGCGAGCGAGTGCCCTGGGTGAATCAATGGAAACCCCCTCACGAAGCCGGGAAAACACTTCAGCCGCAGCCAAATAGCATTGATTATTTTCCTTCACTTCCCTCACCGCCGTGAATTTATTTATTTATTTTTTCCATCTCCGTCCCCGACGCCCCGGAGTGAGCGCTGGAGGGAGGGAGGAGGAGGGGAAAAAAAAAAAAAAAAGGAATCAACACATCGGAGAAGTCCCTTCCAAGAGCCGCCCCCTCCCCTCCCCGCCTCGCGCTGCTCGGCGGCCGCGGTTCGACTCCCGTCCCTGCTTCCAGCTGAGGTGTAAGTGCATCGATTTCCGATGCTGCTGGGTTGGTTTTTTTTTTTTTTTTTTTCTCTTCTCCCTCTCTTCCCTTCCTTGCTCTTTGGAAGCTTGAGACGGAGGGGAGAGGAGGCGCTCGGAGACTGCCGCTGGAGGGCACGGAGAGGGATTGAAGGGGCTGGGGGAGGGGACACGGACGGACCGACAGACAGACTTAGAGCTTGAGAAGGCTCTAGGGTTGTGGGAGGGAGAGGCTTGTGAGCGGGGATGGGGGACGAGAGAGATGCAGGGGGGGGAGGAGAGACGGGGAAGGGAAAGGCATCGAGGCTGGACTGGGAGCCAGCCGGACAGACGGAGGGTAACGAGAGCCTAGACGGACCGCGCCGAGCTGTGCGGGGAGCAGGGATCCCGGAGGGAAGGGGAGGCCGGGTGAGTGCGAGGGCTCGGAGCTGTCAGCCCGAAGGGGCCTGGGTCTCGGCGGCCCCCCGCCGGCGGCGGGATGGGGGAGAAACCCTGGCAGGCGAGCGGGCTGAAGGATCGGCTACCGCGCTGTGGGTGGGGGTTGTTGGGAGGGGATGTGGATACCCTTAATCTTCGATCTTCGTTTTTGCCTGAAGTTGAGTTGTTTTTTGTTTTTGCTTTTTTTTTTTTTGGAAAGGTGCGAGGTGAGGGGAGGCCACTGCCCCATTCAAGGTGAAGCGTGTCTCTCCTGGCCCCCTAAGTCTCCATCCGCTCTGTCAGCCCCTCTGAGGAGCCCTATCATTTTTGAGCACTTGACCACGCGTCGTCTCTCTGTGCCTGTAGCCCAGCTGATTCCCGTCCATGTGTCCCTGCCTCTTGATTTTGCCATTCTTCACCTCATTCATTCTCTCCACCCATCCATCTCTGTGTGTCACTGTCTCCACATGTGATTTTTCCCACCCAAGTGATCCTCTCCCTGTGTGTCCCTGCCACTGTGTGTCATGCCTTGGCTGCCTAACTGTTCTGCCTGTCTAGGACTACATGCCCTGTCCTTCAGGGTCCTTATGGATTTCTCTGGCCTTTTCAGGCTACTCTGGAGTTTGCTTATCAGTCATGATTGTGGTAGTCTCTGGTCAGGGGCCTGGAAGAGTCCAGAGATGAGCAGACATATCTCCCCTAAGGACTCCCCTTTCAGCACAGCCAGGACAGCCTCCATGTCCACCTTCACCAGGAAGCTTTGGAACTTGCTAGCTTTGTTGACTGTCCCCTTTGCCATGTGCCTGTCTCCTCTATTAGGACCTTATCTCTGGTCTCCTGTCCTCTGCCTCTCCTGGGGCTCCCCACCACAAACCTCTTCTTGCTCACTTGATTTTCCTCACTACCCTCACTTTACTATTGTATATTTTTCCTTTCCCCATTTTGTTTCACGCTTTTTTTTCCATCTCCATCTCCCATGATCTCCCTTCCCTATTCTCCACCTTTGTTCCCATAACCTGTGATCTTTCTACCTTTTCTCCTTGGTTACCCTAAGTTCCTTTTATCTCTTATCCTCTCACCCAGCATTTTAATAACCCCAGCCGCAAAAGGGTCTGGGAGAGGTTGAGAATATGGTTTGTGAAGGCACATAAACAGGCCAGGAAATCAATTTAATGGGTTTCCAGGGGCATCTAACCCCTTTATCAGTCAGAGCTATTATGTTGGTTAACTGTCAACTATGATTTTGGAAGGGGACATTCTCTAGGACTCTGAGCTCCACCCTGCTTGGTTGCCCCTTATCCTTCAGTTTATTCAAATGGCTTCTTTACTTTCCAGTTTGTTTTCATACTGTGACCCTGCTGTTATCATATATGGATTCAGCATGATTTCTTTTGGAGGCAGTTTTCATTAGTGTGACAGAAGCTATCTTATGCAGAGGGCCAGGTTCATTCAGAATGCTAAAGAATGGGAAAGGTGGATAAAGAGTCTGGAAAGTTTACCTTGTTTTAAGCCCATCCTTGTTTTTCCAGACATCAGGAGTTTAGAAGGTAAAAGGAAGAGGTAGATATGGACAGAAGATGGAAGATTTCAGAGATGAATAGAGTTACAG